TTCATACTCAACAAGACGAAGTAGGACCTTGGAAGGTCTTCACACTCAACAGGATGAAGTAGGACCTTGGAAGGTCTTCACACTCAACAGGAAGAAGTAGGACCTTGGAAGGTCTTCATACTCAACAAGACGAAGTAGGACCTTGGAAGGTCTTCATACTCAACATGAAGAAGTAGGACCTTGGAAGGTCTTCATACTCAACAAGACGAAGTAGGACCTTGGAAGGTATTCATACTCAACAAGACGAAGTAGGACCTTGGAAGGTCTTAATACTCAACAGGATGAAGTAGGACCTTAGAAGGAGCTTTATGGTATATACGAAAGTTTTTACTTATAATTATCTGTTTACGTCACACTTTCATGTTGAAGTTTTATACCTCACTGAGTATGTAAACGTTTCTAGTCTGTTTTATCAAACAAAAGGTAAAATGTGAATACATTTGGGTAACACGGATTTCTGAAAGTTGGGGGTAACTGGGGCGACATCTTTGTATTGTCGGGCTCTTCACTGATATTTTATTAGTAAGAAGCCTTTAAATCCTATTGATTAAAAACACTGTACGCACAGAGGCACGTATCTGCCATCATCCAGCAACGTATAAAAAAACAAAGCACGGGTCTGTCATTGCCCCCAATCAAACACCCACTCCGTGTAACTACACGTACAACGAGGACGGATCTTGAATCCAACAATGCACGTAACTTTAAAAAAAAAAAAAATCCTGAACAGTGGTGTTTGGTTGTCTTTGGATTACGATCACTATATTCTCTGAATTTGGATTTATTAAACATTTTATGGATGAGCGGACTCATTGACCCTTTTGAAATTCTTCAGAAAATGTTAAACTTAATTTTAGAATCCAACAACAACAACTTTTACAGTTGGCGAGTTTTAATTTTAGTGATTACATGTCGACCTATTGTATCAGGACCATCATCGGGTAAGAACTACATTAAAAATGATAACTTATGTACATATATTTAATGTAACGTTGCCTACTGTAAAAGTTTCTGTTTTTGTATTAATTATTTAATTCAGTAGGTTCCTCACTGTTAATTTTTTTTCAGCTTTCTGTGTACAGTGTTTTGGAAATTCCAAAGTTGTTTCCGTTATGAACTTTGTAAAAAACGTACTTAGACAGAATATAATAAATAACGGAATATTTGTTTTAACATAATTCATACAAGGGTTCAATCACCAGAATTTCCTCCAAACGTCAGCTGTTGGTTGATCTATACACGTAAAAACATCCCCGTACTAAATCTAACAGTAAAACATAGAACTACTGCAAATGTCCAGCAAAGTGTATGGCTGGTGTCAACATGAAACCAATAACTACAAATGTCACTCTTTTGGTAGATTTGAAACATTCTGTAATACTTGATGATAAAAACACGTAAATCCTTCCAAAGGTCTTCAAGATAAACACCAGCAAATCAAAATCAAACTTTCATACTTGGATTAAAAACACGTAAAAACCATCTAAAGGTCTTCAAAATAAACACCAGCAAATCAAAATCAAACTTTCATACTTGGATTAAAAACACGTAAAAACCCTCCAAAGGTCTTCAAAATAAACACCAGCAAATCAAAATCAAACCTTCATTATTGGATTAAAAACACGTAAAAACCATCTAAAGGTCTTCAAAATAAACACCAGCAAATCAAAATCAAACCTTCATTATTGGATTAAAAACACGTAAAAACCATCTAAAGGTCTTCAATATAAACATTGGCGATCCAAATGAAATTTTTATATCTGGTTTGAAAAATTTCTTAGTACGTGAAAAGGTTAGAGATGTAGACTCGTCTCGAATTTTAACAATCTGTAGAGAATTTACCACGTGCGATACACAAGTATGAAACACTCCAGCCAGCCAAGTCTTTGTCACAAAACACTAGTTCTAACATGAAAACCAAAATTATTATTTTTAACAGACATAACCAATCAAACCTCTGGACATGATTCATGTATTTAAGAGAGGACACGGTAGATATAACCTTTATTTTTCTAAGTGGTTTACATGATAAATCGCCTGATAAGTGCGTAATATTTTTGGCAAACACTGTTGCATCTATGATGTTATTCTGATTTGAATTAGGCTGATTTTTCTGGTACAAAAGTGTCGTAAAACATCCATATTATTTTAATCAAAATAATTTATCTCAAGTAAGCAGTGTTACTATAAGCGTGTCGTATTTTTGTTTTGCAAAATGTTTCTTGCTACAGATTTTTAAAGATATTTTTATAGTATAAATTAAGTATTTATTATTTAATCTTTTTTGACTGGGCGTCATAAGTTCGACCGATAGATGTCGCTAAGTTACAAATTTTATCGAAAGTAAGGATGTTACTAGGTAGATATCAAGGTAATTTTGTTCGTTATCCTTTAAAACGTTCCCAACCCGTTCAGACTTGATGATTTGCGCTGTTATTTTAACCTTCAAATAAGAAGTCGTAAAGGTCAAGTCAAAAATAAGCCTTTAATAGACCTGTTTAAACAAGTTGCGTAGTTGTGACTAGAGTTATTGAATGTAGATAGAAAACTGGTTTTTATTTGAAATAGCGATTTATTTTATTAACATATGGAGCTATGAACAAGTCTATTTGATTATCTATAGCTTTTATTTCTCAATTAACGTGACAGTCGTAACCCGCTACAAGATCGTGTGAAGACTATAGATAGCTTAAGGTCTGTAAAGTTGTACACAAATCGAAGTTTGGATATTTTCCAACAGCAAAGGCGCGTGGTAGGAACGAGAGAACAATTAAAAAGTGATGAAAAATTTAATAATAAAACTAATACACTGGGCTTTGGATGCATAAAGTCAGGAGCGTTAACAGAAGAATTATTGAATAATGAGATTATATAAATAAAGTAACACATACATATATATATATATATACGTAGATGATATCGTGACTAATAACACCTAACAAAGAGATATGGGTGTTAGTATTTAAACAATACAAAGAGATATGGATGTTAGTATTTAAACAATACGAATAGATATGGGTGTTAGTATTTAAACAATACAAAGAGATATAGGTGTTAGTATTTAAACAATACAAAGAGATATGGGTGTTAGTATTTAAACAATACAAAGAGAAATGGGTGTTAGTATTTAAACAATACAAAGAGATATGGGTGTTAGTATTTAAACAATACAAAGAGACATGGGTGTTAGTATTTAAACAATACAAAGAGATATGGGTGTTAGTATTTAAACAATACAAAGAGATATGAGTGTTAGTATTTAAACAATACAAAGAGATATGGATGTTAGTATTTAAACAATACAAAGATATATGGGTGTTAGTATTTAAACAATACGAAGAGATATAGGTGTTAGTATTTAAACAATACCGAGAGATATGGGTGTTAGTATTTAAACAATACGAAGATATATAGGTGTTAGTATTTAAACAATACGAAGAGACATGGGTGTTAGTATTTAAACAATACGAAGAGACATGGGTGTTAGTATTTAAACAATACGAAGATACTGGTTAACTATATCTAAACAACAAAGAGACATGGGTGTTAGTATTTAAACAATACGAAGATATATGGGTGTTAGTATTTAAACAATACAAAGAGATATGGGTGTTAGTATTTAAACAACAAAGAGACATGGGTGTTAGTATTTAAACAATACGAAGATATATGGGTGTTAGTATTTAAACAATACAAAGAGATATGGGTGTTAGTATTTAAACAATACAAAGAGAAATGGGTGTTAGTATTTAAACAATACAAATAGATATGGGTGTTAGTATTTAAACAATACAAAGAGATATGGGTGTTAGTATTTAAACAATACAAAGAGACATGGGTGTTAGTATTTAAACAATACAAAGAGATATAGGTGTTAGTATTTAAACAATACAAAGAGACATGGGTGTTAGTATTTAAACAATACGAAGAGATATGAGTGTTAGTATTTAAACAATACAAAGACATATGGGTGTTAGTATTTAAACAATACAAAGACATATGGGTGTTAGTATTTAAACAATACAAAGACATATGGGTGTTAGTATTTAAACAATACAAAGATACTGGTTAACTATATCTAAACAACAAAGGAGATGGGATTGAGAATGCTTAAACAATATATATTTATGCGTCAGTTTAAACACATTATACAGATATGGGTGTCGAGATTATCGTAGTACAGGAACATATAGATTTCAGTAATGCTAAAGGATGGTAAATATACCAAAAAACTCCTTACGTGCTTAAAAGTCTGTAATTTTGTAAGCCAGTAATACTAGTCCAGCCATCTTCACTTGATGCGTCTACAGTTTGCCATACATCGGCTTTATCCAGCATTAAACTGCAACCATCTCAGGATCCCTATTCAAACCTAGATGCGCAACGAAAGCTCCAGAATATGATGAAACTTTGTGAAGTATATCTGGCCAAGCGAGATTATTTTCTGAGTGAGTGAGTGGCTGGATCAAGGACTAACCTACTTTAGCTACCAGCATCTCAAATTGGCCAAGAGATGGAGCTATGAGCTGATAGTTCGTACTTGGAAAAAAAAAACTCGGAGCCGATATGCCGCGGCTTAAATGTTGAAATAGTCTTTAGCATCTGTTTTCCCCATTGTTTCCGAATAACTTACCAGCAGGTTATCGGATGCTTTAGTTTTTAGATGGACTTCAAGCATGACTTATTTATTTTGTGGGGAGTAAAATATGCTGTAAATAATATAAGAAGGTAATTCTATCTGTAATCTTATATGGTAGGTAGGCCGATCGTGTATGAACTTACAGCATTCAAGACAAGAGTTAGAAGGATGAAACAAGGCCTAACTTTTACTTCCTTAAAATAACACGTTAGCTTTCAAAGAGTTCTAAAGAGTTTATAAAGCATGAGTTCAGAACTGATGTCCTTCATTGCCTGTCCTGTGAAAGTGGGTGTTCTCGGGGCACTCTCGTTTCCCTCCACATTAAAATATACGAGTCGGAACTGATGTCCTTCACTGCCTGTCCTGTGAAAGTGGGTGTTCTCGGGGCACTCCACATTAAAATATATGAGTCAGAACTGATGTCCTTCATTGCCTGTCCTGTGAAAGTGGGTGTTCTCGGGGCACTCTCGTTTCCCTCCACATTAAAATATATGAGTTCAGAACTGATGTGCTTCATTGCCTGTCCTGTGAAAGTGGGTGTTCTCGGGGCACTCCACATTAAAATATACGACACTCGGATTTAATGATACCAGCCTTGACATTGGATTTACAGATCACTGTGACCCTGGTCACGGGGTGTTTGTTACCACGTGCTTTGTTTGTTCTCTTCTCTGACGTCATCGGCCTTAATCTTCTCTCTGGCTCCGGTTCCTCCAATTCTACAATCTCAAGACTTCAAATCCACCAACATTTTATGAGTCTCTCGAACTTAATTTATCTAGTTCACGAATTCACAAATAATTTATTGCAAACGGGGAGAAAGAGGAGACTAATATCCCTGAACACCCCAGTTGGGCATAGTTTCGTTCCTTCCAAAACAGGCCTTGCATGGCCAGGTGGTTAGGGTGCTCGACTCGTAATCTGCTCGCCGTTTCAGCCGTGGGGGCGTTATAATGTGACGATCAATCCCATTATTCGTTGGTAAAAGAGTAGCCCAAGAGTTGGCAGTGGGTGGTAATGACTAGCTGCCTTCCTTCTAGTCTTACACTGCTAAATTAGGAACAGCTAGTGCAGATAGCCCTCGTGTAGGTTTGCGCGAAATTCAAAAACGAACAAACAAATAACCCTTCAAGAACTAAATCCCTGTCACGGATTTTTTGTTGGATTTTTTATGTCTTCCATGTGAGTAAGAAGTTCTGACATGATTACAGATCTGACTTGAGTACCTGTACCGTTGATAGTTGTTCTGACATGTTTACAGATCTGACTTGAGGAACTGTACTGATTAGTTATTCTGACATGTTTACAGATCTGACTTGAGGAACTGTACTGATTAGTTATTCTGACATGTTTACAGATCTGACTTGAGGAACTGTACTGATTATAGTTGTTCTGACATGTTTACAGATCTGACTTGAGTAACTGTACTGATTATAGTTGTTCTGACATGTTTACAGATGTGACTTGAGTAACTGTACCGTTTATAGACTTATTCTGACATTTTTACAGGTCTGACTTGAGTAATTGTACCGTTTATAGAGTTAATCTGACATTTTTACAGGTCTGACTTGAGTAATTGTACCGTTTATAGAGTTATTCTGACATTTTTACAGATCTGACTTGAGTACC